GGTGGGTTTGCAACAATCTGATCAGGGGCTGCCTGGCTTGATGCGAGCAGTAGCAAACCATTGAACACCCGGAGGTGCCATCTCACAGTCAGAGACAATGCGTGGCGCACATGCTATACGCCAATCGAGCTGTGAGCTTATAACCCGTAGACCTGTTGTCTCCCATGGCTAGGTTTCACGGGAAGAGGGCCAACAACCACTTCCTAACCTCCGAAGATGATGGCCTAGGATATTGACAGGGCGCCCACACCTGACAGAAGGACTCGGGTCCTCAGCCAAAGCCATCGATTAAATGTGCACTCAAAAGGCAACGGGTCAAGCACATGGTCAGTACACTGACTCATGCGGATTGGTGTCTTGAATCTTAGCAGGGAGAAGGGGGTAACACATGGGTAGACCATGGCAGGATCTGGAAACCACCAGGCTCAGTGCAACCGATATATATATATACCATTTTCACTTTAAACTGGACATTTATCAAACCAAACTGGACATTTTGCAAACCAAAGTGGACATTTTGCAAACCAAACTGGACATTTTGCAAACTAAAGTGGACATGCTGCAAACCAAAGTGGACATTTTGCAAACCAAAGTGGACATTTTGCAAAACAAATTGGACACGTTGCAATCTAAGTAGCAACTCGCCAATTTGTTGGTAAGAAACGAGCAGTAAGACTGCTGAATGATGTTCAGCATATACATTGTGATGACGCTAATACACCGGCATTGTGTAAGCAGCGGGCTACACTGTAAAACATTTGCTTGATCGTGAGCGGCGACCGAAGTTCTGAACTACGCTTCCCTCTCCCCATGGACATTCGCCTAGTTGGTGTGCAGTGCCCATACGCATCAACCTGTGTAGGTGTGTGACAATTGGAAAATCGGACGTCCGAATCGTAATTGTGTATCAATCATTTTGTGAGTGGATTGCGATGCGCAATCTCAATGTGCACCGTTATTCTCATTAGAGAGAACCTTGTCCGATTCGGTCAATGGGACCATGTCGGATGAAGCAGGTAGGCGGTGTCCCAGCTTCGCCCGTCTCTCTATTAGCTTTCGCAACTGCCACGTTATTGCATCAGCGTAGGCTGTAATGACCCCCAGCAAAACCAATCTAGATCTATAGCCTATTGTTGCAACATATCAACTACTGAGGAGTGGGACAATTACACGATGTTCAGGCCACATTGTGGTCGCGATAATGTAACCGAACTGCGTACGTAGCGGGTGATTGTGTAAGCCCTTCCCTTGACATGAGTGCCGTTCGCCTCGGTCAAAATCGGTGACCTATTTTCCCCTACACACACCCCCCATAGGAATTCGTGTGTTTTGCCTGGGTGTGTGGACCGACCTATGCCGCGGTACCACAATTGGAGCCGAGCATACGATAATGGTTCCACTCAACCCAACTTAGCTTTATTAGCTCCGTGCCGCAGGAAACGACCAAAATGAGTGACGAACAACAGGAGAGCTGGTGGCCGACGCGACGGCACTGCAGGCGAACATCATTTGCGCAAAGAGAAATTCTCACAAAACTTGTGCTGGTCGACGGCAAAACTACTCGGGAAGCCGCTGAAGTCGCCGGTGTTAACGCGATTACGGCAAGGAACATCATTAATGCCTACAAGCGAGAAGGCTCAAATACACAGCGCACCTGCGGTGGAAACAATAGGGAGAAGCTGACTCCCAATGTATTGCAGCGCGTCGAAGAAGCGGTTGAACGGCACTCTGAGGACACGTTGGTGCAGCTGCAGATGCGCCTGAGAGAGAATGGGATAAACCTATCAGTATCCTCTGTCTCCAACGCCCTCAGAAGATTAAAGATAAATAAATAGATAAATAAACAGACAAGCAAACGGTGACATACATCTTAAATTAGTGAGCATATGAAATAAGTTGTTTACAAAAGAATACGTTTGCAAATGAATACGAGGTAAGTTCACGAGGTCAGGAGGTTTATTTTACGGAAATGCTACAAACACGAAAATGTTAACGAAATAACTACAAGTGGCTTAAGCGAGGTGTGTAAGTGTATAGAAGATAGTATAAATAGGCATTTATATGGGAAAGAAAAGCATTAGGGCAAAATTGAAAACCCACCACCTGAAATAAAGGGACTTAGCATGCAAGCCCGCGGTTAGTAAATCGAATGCAGAGTACCTACAAACGCTGCGCCGGTTCTGCCTACGTTCTCTGCAGAACCCGTCGTCGCTTCTGTAGTGGTCCCGAGTGGCCTCGCTCATGGCTCACTAGGCCTGCCTGACTCAGGCACTTGCGACCGCATGTGCTACAGCACCATGCACTCGATGTCGATGGAATACAACCCATCGGTGCTTGCCGCTTCCACACTTGTCGCTTCTTCTCTGCATGTATATATATATATATATATATATATATATATATATATATATAGGCCCTTGACAACAATACAATTTATACGGTTATGTATAAGATCATACGGCGTAACAAGGAGCTGTTTCTTGAACTCGAATCGACCTAGTTGGTTGGGTTTTGTTAGTCACAAGCCTGTCTCAAGGTTTAATGTTTGTTGGTGTTTCGCGGTATGTAGTGAAGCCGCAAGTTCATCAATCGATGAATCAGCGTGAAGAATTTGACTGAAGATCAGGGGAATGCTTGAGTGCCAGGACAGGCCCGGAATCGCCCATGTGAACAGAGAGCTTATACTAACTGAGCCAAGTCGCCTTGATACATGTCATCAAAGTAATAAAGTACTGATCAAGAGAGCAGTAAAGAATAGAAGTGCTAGGGGAAGAGTTAAGAAAAGATCGCAAGAGAGCTACACTGTGATTGCGCCATATTTCATGGAGCACCGAAACGCTGAGGTAGCTGATATCGATGTCATTCGTAAAGATGACGACAAATACCAAACCGACTCAGTCCAATACCTGCATCGCACAGAGATGACCGGAGCATAGTTGACATACTGAAGCGAACTGAAAGAAATGCCATTCCAAAACGTCGCGAGCCTTCCAATAAGTAAAAAACGTTAAGTGCACAAGTACACATCGGTCGATCTAGTTGTTACATAATGCAAAACCACTATGATCACAACAAATAGTGAAGTATCTGTTATTACTGGTGTTAGCAATAATTAAGAATGGACTTCAAGATAGGCTTGGTCTGTGAATGATCAGAACTAACGAAAACTAGGAACCGAGTTCAGGATGTCATGATTTTTCCGAAGGGCGTTTGGAATTAATGCTGTATCGAACACCGTGCTAGTCAAAACTCGTAAAATGAAAGGCATCGATCTGTATCAAGACCAGTACAAACAATCGTAGGGATTAAAGATAAAACAAAAGTGGTAAACAAACGCCAAGTTCCTCAAAAAGTACGAAAAGGTCCACAGGTCGCGCGTCAACTAGACACGAAAAAAATCGAAGACGGAAAGCAAAGCATGATACCACTTGAGTGACAACGCTTCTCGGTATGTCTAAAGTTCAAGGGCAAAAAAGTCGGCATGTGTAGGGGACAGTTGCCCTCCTAAGACTATCAATGTGTAGCCATAGCAAAATTTCCGCCTTCGATTAATATTCTCTTGAATGAAATCTTGAGTAGTGTAAGAGGAAAAATGGGTCTCGCTACCAACTGATGGCATGACAATGCACGATACAAACGACCAGCAAATCGGAAGCAGGTATGCAATCGAGAAGATAGAGTGCCTGACGCACAGAGATTCGAACTGTTTCATCAGCTCGGCACCCAAGCACGAAGAACTGAGAAAGAGAATTCCGTTCACGAGCTAGAATAATCCATTATTTACGACAGGGCTAAGTACATCATTTCCCCACAAAACACATGGTACCCTTCACGTGTGGAATGTAGGACAAACGAGAAGACAAAGAACAACAAACAAAAAATATATATACTTGGTGATTTTTCAAAACACCTGACAAGAGCCAAGGAAAAGGAACTGTTTTATTTGCACATTTGTACAACCTGTGGAAAATATGACTACCGCACTTGGAATGGGTGGTGAAGTGGTGAAGAACGTCCTTCCCTCGCCCCATTCAAGTGATTAGACGACAATCGTTGAACCGGGGTCAGCAGTCGGTCCTTGATTACAGGCTCTTAGCAAGATGAGCTACGTGACGCATCACGTAGAGATAGGTACAGGAGTAGGCGGGCTGGGATATTCCTACAAATAAGTCTTAGGGGCAGCAACAGGGATTCGGCGTTCATAAAATGCAACAGAAGAAGAAAAGGTTTGTCCTGACTACCAATACAAGGAGGACTGTTGTGAGGTAAATGCCGGAGTGATCACATGTCTAAGCGTCCAGATGTAAGTTAACGGTTGTACATCCGTTGAATAATGATGGCCATGGTTAGAGCGGCGGTGGATGTTCAGGTTGTTGAAAGACTAAGGTAAAAACAAGGTTTCTGAGAGCCGATGTACAAATGTTAGGGTTCTTTCATTTATATAGCTCGACAAGATAAGCCGTTCTGGGTTGAGTGGATACTGTTGGGCGCAGTTACAAGCAATATGTGTGAAGACACGAAAGCAAAAAGGACCCGGGGATTCAAAAGCATGAGTAAGGAGTGGCAAAAAAAACAGAAACCACAAATTCAATCTCAAATCACAGGATAATGCGGTTTAAAGAAGAAAAGAAAGAAAAATAAAACGTGATATGTGCCAAAAGTATGAACTGGTAGGACCACATGGAGAATTCTCGGGTCAAAAAACAAGGAACCAGGATAGGGGACGAAAATAAACACCCAAGAGCGGTGTCCAAATGAAACAGCATATGTACACAGAACACGCAAAGGCGTGGATGCAACAAAATGGGCAAGTGTTGCGCGATGGAGGAAATTGTGAACTGCTGCGGACAGCGGACAGTCTGACTGGCATAGCGCGCTAATGAAGACAAACGACACGACTTACGTGTGATGAACATGGAGCCACACATGACCTCACACGGGGTGACGAGGTGAACGATTGAAACGGATAGCTTCGGGTTGATAGCATGGCCCGAACCAATTCAGGTGAAAGAACGTAGGCGATGTTCCAAACCTTGTTTTAGTTGCACAGTCGAGTTGTAGAAGAGTTGTTCAGCTGGGATCAAGCGTTCTCTATGTGTCTGGTGCGAAACAATGCATCCTAACATGCCGTAAGATAACTTATCTTTTCTGACGCCAGATGATGGGGACGACACAGATTCATCGGTGGTATGCTGTTAAGGGAATGGGGCGGATAAAAACAGAAAAATTTGTTTTGGATGTCAGTGACACGAAGTAGTGGTTTGTGAACCGATGAGGTTTAGTTGAACAGGGTAAGAACACCACCATACAAAGTGTGTACAAATTAGTGAGGTAAAAAAGCAATGGGTAACTGAGAGCCGCAGTCGTTTGTTACCGAGAAGTGCTTGCTGGATAAAAGAAAACCTAGTGAATTAGCGACCACAGTGTTTCGGTCGCGGGCACTAAAATAGGGGCAATGCGTCGTAACAAAATCCTAAAAGATTGCTCGCACATTCATGTGAGCTGTTAATTGAATGATCGACAGTTAGCTCGTCAGAGCAGCCACCTCAACTACAAGGCTTTCTCTAATTAAGGTGACGAGCGCCCCAAGTGTTATAAATTGTTGCTCAGTGATGATGCGAGACACCGAATACACATGCAGAGGGAGCAAAAATGGAAACATAATTGTGACGTGCCAATGGGAAGTAGCGTTGATGGAAAGACAATAAAGGGAATAACACGGGTAGAAGACAGTAAGAAGCCAGTATTTAAAGAGAATACGTCCGAGAAAGTATTAGCACTGATAGTTGTGTTCCAGTCATTTACTAAAAATGCGAAGAGCTGGTGTCGTCCGTAAGTTAAGAACAAAAGTGGGTGCAGAACGAAGCCACGTGAACGACTTCGCAAAGGCCGAGTTCGATGCACCACTGACTTCCCGTATGTCACCTGGAGCATGATCGTCACGAATCGTAGAAAACAGGCCTCAAACGTTTGCTAATGCAGGAAAAAAGTAAACGCCATGATATCAACGGTAAGATGTTTAGAATCAGCATTTCAACGTGAGTTGAGAACGGCCGACAAAACTTGTGACAATAGCATAAGAAGAATAGGCCCCGGACTAAATGGACCAATTTCATCGACGAACATGTGAGATTTCAGCACACCGACGCGTCGTTTTGTTGCAACATGACCGCCATCAGTCACGTGTGGGGACTGCGATGTTACGTACGAACCGATGAACTGGACCGATCGACCACCGGCTGATGATCCACATATCATTACCTGTTTTTTATATCTTAGCTAGGTAGACGAGGTAACAGATGAGGCGCGGACAGACGTGATTTGAACACTCCAATGAGGTGCCAGAATGTCTGACATCAAGCACCAGATAACGAACCATAGTACAGTCGGAGACCACTCAATTGGTGCTCTCAACGAATATGAGCAAGCCTTTGTAAGCATCGGTGGTCAAACAAAGATTAGTCTAAGCACGTAGTGGCCAGGTCTCAGATTCATGCAGTAAAATGGACTCTGCTTCAGAACCATAAATTCGTCCTTTAACAAGCAAGCTTATAATTCGCCGAACTTATAAGTGCTATGAAAAGACGCACTAGCCTTAGCGATTGTAAAGTCCAAAAGGAACATTGATGCATCCCCAACCTGGATTGCTTAGTTGAGGACGCGGTATTTCTATTCCCTAATTATTCGGCCCATTTTACATTGATTTCACTGTGTGTGCTACAATCGGTCACCATATTGAACATTCATTCCTTGTACTCTCGATCACTGGTATATCCTTGACGCTCCAAGGTCAGCCATATTATTTTGTTGCTGTGACACTGCCCAAATTTTCGCACGTTGCCGCACGATTTACAATTTCTGACCTCTTGCACTACGATTGCCAAAGCTATTCGTAAGTCATGCGCTGTATTTAATTTGCATTATAGAATCACGGTTACGGGATAATTCGTTTTATTCTTCTGTCCAGACCGTGCGTTAAGTCTAGATTTATTGGTTCGTAGTTTCTAGTTTCGGTTTCGTACGAAGTACTTAGTTTGGGTTTCGTATCGATCGTACAACAATGGTGCTATTACCTCAGTGATGCCAAACCGGAAAGTGCCACAGCTACCCAGATGAGCAAACGGACGGAACATGAGCGTGAAAACTGGTGATACGTCTGCCCAATTTGACAACAGTATCATGTAGATTGAAGATGCAATGCACATATTGAAGTCTGCAATGCTACCCATCAACACATTCGGTGTCAAGTGCACAAAAGCTGGGGCCGGTCCAATAACAGGTAAGTCTCCCGGATGCTCCAATTTCGATAGTCAGTCACCTAACAAGGCTCGCATTAGGGAAGAAATAATTTATGGTCAGTTCGGTTACAATCGAGAGCGAGTGGGTCTGATGAACCCTGGTTGCTAGTGGTAAGCCTCTGCCAGGCTCTTGTACGGTCATTAGGGGTCATGGTGCATAAATTTTAAAATTGAAGGAATGTTAGACCATATTGATTTCAGAGAAAAGTACCACTACAAGCAGATGCGACCAACAAAATCAGGCCAGAAGGGACCAAATTAATAAGCAATTTGTAGTTCGACTGGTGATTGGTTCGCCGAGCTTGATTCAATAGTCGCATACGTTTTGCCACCATGCGAGGTGGCATCGTCAGTGCAGAAATGCGCGATGGGCAATCTCACTCCTTGAATCAGTGAGATTGCCCTTCGCGCAACATCGCACTAATGATGCCACCTCGCATGGTGGCGAAACGTGTGCGACTATTGAATCAAGTTCGGCGAACCAATAAACAGTCGAACAAGTAACCCGAGCTACCAGTGCTTCAAAGTATTTCAAGCTATTTGTAGGTATGGTGACGTTGAAGCAGACGATGATGAATATAATGTCCATGCATTCTCCACCGCGGTAAAGATCGGCCTCAGTTGAATTGACTGGTCTCTTCTAACGGGTAACTGAGTCGCTGAAACAGAAGATGAGTGGGGATTACGGTAATTGGCCATGATGATTTTCACAGGCGTCTCCCTGGACTTTTAGAGCGATGCGAATGAGGGTCGAGATCCACCAATCGGAGTTCGGAGGCTGATGTTCTGTGTGCTTCTGGGACACAACGCACACTAACTCCGAAGAAAAGCGCAGTCAATCATAAAGAGTGGCATCTGTTGACCGGAGTGACATAGTGCGCAGACGCTGGAGGACACACTGAAGGATGATACGCTAGGCCTGAAAAATAGATTGACTTTCTTATCAGCATTGCTGACCAAGTTGGAAAGGGCTTCTTGCTGGTAAAAATGAAGAGGGTGCAGATGAAAATGGAACTAAAAGATAATGGCGATTGGGTCTTAAGGGAAGATAATACCCATAAATTGTTCGCTAAGGTATACAACTTTATGCGCAACTGGTCTGTGACTGAATGGTCTAGCTCACAAGACAATGAGAAGTGAGTTAGATCCAGAGTGCGACTGCAGCCCTATTAGTGTCTGATCAATACCAACTTCAAATGATGATTAGGGATTACGATCCTCAAACAAGTACATTATTTCATTCCCATTCCCTTTAAGTAGTAACTGTTTGACTGTGTTATTTTTTCCATTCATCTTATCTAAATACTCCTATTTACTCCAGTACGAAAAGTGATGTTATATATGGCAACCTGCCTTATCCCATCTCAGTGTTGAAATTTATGCTGACTACCGGAACTGGTTCCTATGGGAAATTCATCTATTCTTTCGACTAGATAGTAGGAGAAAAGAGCATAAACAGTACGCTGCTGCGTCTTGCAAACACATCACTGCCAAATAACCAGTCAGTCCCGTGCGGACTAACCATCGTTCCCATTATGCTACATATTAGCTAGCAGTTAGAAAACCTCAGCTATTGTGCTGCAACACAATTCAATCAGGTGAGTTAAAAAGAAGAATATTACCATTTTTGTTTTATACTATCTAATAGTAGTTGGAGGCTAACTGGGATGAGGCTGAACAGAGGCACCAAAAACAGATGCCATTGTCGTCAGTCCTTCGCCATATCAACAAGTGTCCCCAACCAAACGAGCTTATCGTCTTTCAGGCCCCAACAAGGTGGTGGAAAGGCTTGAACTGAGGCCAACTTGGAAAAGAGCGCCTACATTCCTTTTAAGTAGGTCATCAATTGACCTATCCTCCTTTTCTACCCACACCCCAGTCGCGCAAACAACGCACGATGCGGGAGTCGGTGTGCTAGCATGCACAAACACGTGACCCAACCATCGGAGCCTGGTGCGTGATATAGCGGTGCTGAGTGCTTCACTAGCTTTTAGTGCACCAAATGCGAGACACCGAACATGCTCATTGCTGACTTGGTGTTCCCACCAGATACGAGCTAGACTATGAGGGTGCCGGCGGTCGGAAGCATATTTAGGTCCGTAGATTTGATGGGCTAGATCTCATAACCGTAAAGAAGGGTTGGGTGGACGGATGTATTGTAGACACACACTTCCCGGCAATAGTGATATCGCGCCCGCACCAAAGGTGGCGAATATTGACAAAAGTAACTCAAACTTTTGCTATACGGTCCATGATCTCATCTTCAATTCCACAGCCATTAATATAACTGCCTAGAATCATGAATTTCTGGACGACTTCTAGCTAATCACTACTATGGGTCATCGCACGGTTGGGTCCCTACTAATCTTGGGGAAGGACTGTGCATCTCCAAGGTGCAAATATAGATCAAATTGATTGACAGGAAGCGCTAACCTGTCGAACGCTGATTAGGCATGTGTGTGAATTGTCACAAATGAGCGTAATGTCGTGGACATACGATAAGTCAAGAAACCGATAACCTGGGTGCAACTCCATATCTTTAAGGTCGTGGCCCATGAACGCATTTTTTATGACTATCAATAGCAAAGTCAAAAAGGAAGAGTGATGTCGGGCATCCGGTTTCACAAGACTGTAAGCAGTTTTTCATAACTCCTCACTCCGCCGAACGTTAAAGCATTTCTCGGGTACCTTCTTCCTGATCAGAGAGTCCAAAGGAACACAATCATCTACCAAACCGAAGGTACATTTGATGTCGAGAAATATGACTGACACGAAGTGAAGGTATGATCAATGCAGCCTCAATGTGGAAGAAAGAAAGATTGCTTTCCACGAAGGTGGATATCACAGGCGTAAACCAGTCATGGCAGATCGACAGAGGACAACAATTTAGAGGA